TTGTCACGTAGGTACGTAAAACAAGACGGTCAAACCAAAAGTGACGAGATTTCCTAACATATGAATCTAGCATGGTATACAAGAAATATGATATGATAAAGAAAACGATGTTAACATGAGAACTAGCAAGGCGCGAGATAACATTCTTGAGCGCCGCGTCATTGCTCGTGAGAAATCAAGTGCCTACTAAGTAAATTATAATTTTATATAATGTACAGGGAGAGCATGGACATAACTCCTCCCTCCTTAAACTCTTAGAACGTCCTCGTTCTTATCAGACTCAACTTCATTTTTCTTTTGAGATAATTTTTGCCTTTTTCACAAACGTGATTTTAATACAAGTATAATTAATATCGTAACGACTATCCCTATTATAAGAGAACTATTGACATGAGAATGATAGTTGTTAAACTTAACTGGTGCAACCTCTTTCATTTTATCTAAATTTTCCTTGATATCAGAAAAATCGTTACTAGTAATATGGAAAGTATCTATCGTGTGTGTTGGCTTTAATGTAAAGTCAGAAATATTGAAATCCAAGGGCTCTGTTGGAATAACAGTGCTATGAAGAACATATGATACATCATTTATAACCAGTGTGCAGTTACTACTTAAAATATAATTACCAATTAGATTAAAAGGCTTGATTTCGCCATCGCATTTTTCGAAAACAGTGATTCTGATGTTGCTAGAAAATAATACTGCCTCATCACTCTCGAGCAAATATGTTAAGCTTAAAAAGTTTTTAGCCTGTACAATGTTACATTGATCATATGTTTCTGTGATAGGGATATTGTGCTTTGGATCAGTCCGAGGTAATCAGAGATTTCTCGTAGAGAAATAAGTAGTCTAAAAATTAAAGTTTCATACTCGTATTCATAAATTGCTTTCTTGACAGTTTCTGATAGCGATTGTACATTATTTTGAATGAGTTTCATGTTTCTCTCAAATTTTTGTGAAATGAGCTGAGCGAATGCTTTTTGATTGTTAATAGCCACTATGAGTTCGTTCTCTTTGTCTCTTAATGATATAAATTTATCGTTGATTTCTGTAAGATCGTCCTGATCTAAGTTACCCGTCACATACCTTATAATGCTTCCCAATCCGTTAATAATAGCTCGACGTTTCCTACTATATGAATGGTAAGGCGATAATTTTGAATATTCTGCTTTTACGTTAATGATATTTTTATACAAGTCCTCTAGTACCGGTTTAAGATTTGTATCGTCAGAATAGTTTATTAAGGCTCTATAACTAACTTCTACCTTATTAATATCATCAGCTATTAAGCTGAGATTATGACTGAGAATAAACGTATGATAATGGCTTATCAGTTTCGCATCACCTATTGGTTCCGAATAGAAACCATTATTAGTTGGAACTTGATGAAGCCTCAGCTGTAGACTCTGCGACCATAGAGTTGTCCTGCGGAGAAAAAACGTTTTTAACTCTTTTGATCTGACGCAAGTTCCTTCTGGTGAGAACCGGCTGTTTACCCATAGTTTGTAATTGTAAAGTATTGCCTTCTTGATTCTTAACTCGGGCTTTTACCTGTTTTGGATTAATTTTTGTGGTTCGCTGTCTGGACTTAACAAAAACAGTAGTTTCCTTTGGAATTTCCGGCTGTTCGAAGCGATTTTCATTTTTCTTATTAAGTACCTCTTCTGCCTTATCCTTAGATTTATCACTTACCGACTGATATAATAATTTAAGCTCATCAATGCGTTTTTGATTGTACTGTTCGTAGATGTCCTTGCTCAATTCAATGCTCGTTATATTTGTTCTGTTGAATGGAGCATAAAGAAGGGAGTGTGGAGAAAAATTTGAAGAACTATGTACACTTTGATTATAATTTAGAATTGCAGTTAACATGAGCTCCTTTATGTCCGTTTTTGTATTTTTAAGTTTTAATGCAATTAATTTTTCTTTAAGAGTACTATGAAATCTCTCAACGGGAGAATTAGATGAGGGATTTTCGGGAGTAGTAAAATGAACCTTGATTTTATGTATCTCGCAAAATTCTTTGAAAGTTTTGGATGTAAATCCAGCTCCGTTATCACACGTAATTTTAACAGGGATTCCGTGATGACTAATAAAGTAACGTATTGTTTCAAGCAAAGTTATTGAATTCTCATCCGTAATATGGTACGCCTGGCCGTACTTAGAAAATAAATCTAAAATAGTAAAAAACTTATTGCCATCGATCTTGAATGTGTCAATGTGAACGACTTCAAAAGGATATTTCGCAATAAATGGCCCTTCATATGGTGGTTTGTAAGGGTTTCTATCATACTTAGCCAGATTGCAAGTTTCGCATGAATTTATGAACGCATTTATAAAATTTTTCATGTTGGGCCAATAGTATTTTAACTAAAATGTTTTTAGTGTTTCTTGAATACCGTTATGATTCTTAGAGTGATAATCCTTGACTAGTCTCGTTTGTTCCTCTTCGTCGGTAATATCCAAAAGGAGTTTATTCGTGAAAACTAGGTGAACTTCAGGGTCAAATAAGGAGCGTACTATTTGAGTAATAATTGGTTTCAAAGTCTCATTATGACAGAAAATACCGTATGTATTTTTTGGATCTACATACTCGATAAGTGTTCGAGATATCTGAGAATGTATGTTATCAGAGGAAAGTGTGGCGTACAATCTAAATTTATTTTTGAAGATCTCCTGCCTGGTGATTTTATAATTACCTAAAATTTTGAATTCAAATTGACATTTAAAATAGTTCAATGGATGTTCCGAAAATGGAAGTAAATTTATAGGGTGTTCATAATTGCTATTCTCTATGGTTCCCGATCTCGAAGGATTATAAGAAGATGACTCATCAGAGTTTTCTTCTACTTCTCCTTGTACAGAAGTTGGATTATTTTCACGTTTATTTTCGAGACACTCTCTTACCAAAGGAATCTGAAGATAACGAGGATTTGCCTTAGACGATGAGGGTATTTGATCATCTACAGCGTTAAGTTCCGCTCTTGATAAGGCATCAGCAACACAGTTTTCCTTACCTCTCTTATAAAGTATATCATAATCGTATTCTTCTAAGCGGACCTTCCAACGTGCCAGCCTGGATACAGGGTCTTTCAAATTAAAAAGCCAAGTTAATGGTTTGCAGTCAGTTTCGATTACAAATTTTTTGCCATACAAATAAGGTCGAAAATGTTTCACGGAATCTACTATCGCAAGTAACTCTCTCTCGGTAGCGCTATAGTTCCTTTCAGCATTATTCAATGTGCGAGAATAAAATGCGACGGGGCGGTCTTTTTGGGAAAGAACGGAACCAATCGCAACACTACTGCTATCAGTCGTTAGTTTAAAAGGCTGCGTAAAGTCTAGATAAATCAAGACTGGAGAGTTTGTGACTAATTCTTTTAGTTTTTCGAATGCCTGGATATATTCCCTATTCGTTATATCTAATATGGCACCCTTTTTTAACATTCTGGTCATTGGTTGTGCAACTCGAGAGTAATCTTTAATAAATTTTCGATAGAATCCGGTGAGACCTAAAAACCCTTTAATTTGTTTTGTGGTCTTTGGAATGGGAAATTCTGTAATTGCCTTAATTTTGTCTGGATTTGGCTTAATGCCTTGTTCGGTAATTACATGTCCTAAGAACGGTACTTCCTTGCGAAGAAATTCCGTTTTATCCAACTGTACCTTTAAATTAAATTGTTTCAATTTTTTAAATACAAACTCTAAATGTTGAATGTGCTGTTCGAGTGATTTTGAATATACCAAAATATCATCCATATAAACAATACAACTTTTATACAACTGATCACGGAGGACATCATCCATTAAACGCTGAAATGTGGCCGGTGCATTTCGCAAGCCAAAGGGCATCCGGACGTATTCAAGGTGCTGATTGTTCACAGTAAAGGCTGTTTTCTCGATGGATTCAGGGTCCATCTCTATTTGGTGAAATCCTTGAGAGAGATCGAGTGTCGAAAAAAAGGAGCATTTGCCAAGATTGTCTAATATTTCGTCAATTCTGGGAAGTGGATATTTATCTTCCACAGTTTTTGAATTCAGTTTTCGATAGTCGATAACTAGACGCCACTTACGTTGACCAGATGCATCTAAACGCTTTGGGACTATCCACACCTGAGAGGAGTATGGACTAATACTGGGGCGCACGATTTTGTTATCAATCAATTTTTGTACCTGTTTGTTGATTTCTTCTTGAAGAACAGGAGGGTATCTAAATGGTTTCTGATAAATCGGTATTTTATCCGTTGTTCGGATTTTGTGCTTGACGTGGTGAGTACAGGTCAAATCTGTACCTTCGCAATGAAATATATTCTTATACTTTTGACAGAGTTCGAGAATTTTTTGTTTTTCACTAGGTGTAAGGTGTTCAGTACGCAGTAATTGTGCAATATTGGAAGTATTTTCTTGGTTATCAGGTTTTTTAATGTATTCAAGTAAAGAATCTACGTCCATAGGTTCTATGCAACATATCTCTTCTGGAGTGGTATTTTCTATAGGAATTGGTAACGTAACATGAGAATTATAAGCCGTGGCTATGCAATCGGGAAAAATGATACCATTTATTTCAAATTCCGGTATAACAACAGGACCATTTTCTATTTTAACTGGTATAGTGATATGATTGATATATTCGAGGCGAGTAGGTTTGATAGGCGTAGCCCTTTCGATAACGAATGGGATACATCGATTTCTTAGTTGAACTGTTTGATTCGTATAATCAATTTTCGCTCCTAACTTTTGAAGATCATCTGTGCCTAGCAGAAGATCAAACTTATCATGCCAATCAACTACTTTAAAATTTAGAACTTTATTTATACCAAATTCGTTCAAGATTGGGTACCGGACATTTTGTGTACCATGGGAAATTGTATTTAGCGATTTTACCTCAAAACTTTGATCAAATAGAAATTCGGAAAAATACGTATTTGCAATATCAGGATTCATGATATTTGACGTAGCTCCCGTGTCTACTAATATTTTAAGACCTAATTTTGGGAGGACTATATAGGGGAGCCTTGAGAGCTTGTAAATATTATATAAGTCGACTGATTCATTTCCGAGGCCGCTATAGGAAAATTTTCAGCCTGTGCGTCATCATTCTCAAAAGTAACTACTCCACTATCCAAGTAATCATTATCTTGTTGGTAGCCATAAGCGGTTTCAGAAAAATAATCATTGTCGCATTGGTCGTGAGATTCAGTCCCTTCCGTCTCCTGATTATGGAGCTCTTCCACAATCACATTTGGCCTGCCTGTTTGTTGAAAGAAATTGGGACGATGTGACTGCCTTACAGAAGTGTTTGGACAATAATTACTACTATCTACAGACATAGGCGTTGGCCTATTTGGTTGGGGATTTCTGGAAATTTGTTGATTTGAATTTTGGGAACGATTTGGCATTAACTGTGGTTGAGTTGTATACGGAAATGGTCTCGTACCATAATTTGGTCTGGGAGGTAAACTATTTGGTCTCGGTGGGCCAATTCTGGGTGGAGACATTTGGAATTGTGGCCTAAATTGATTTTGAAAGTTATTATTGAAGGTATTATCTTTGTGGTTTGGCAGAGATTTTGGAAGAATGCTATTTTTTCGTTGGGGTTCGTCCTTATCTCTCATGAAATTTGTTAGAGAACGTTCATACCAGAAATTTTCCATTTCCTGGATTTTATGTAACGCATCGGGTAACGTACCTACATGCGAATGAGCGAAAATATTCCCATACTGATCCTTTAGACCAAAAATAAATCGTTTTAAGGCCTGATCGTTGTACATGTCGGATTTAATTTGAAATAACTCCGGGGACGAATTCAGTTTTACCTGTTGCAAGATTTTTTGCAACTGTTCGTTAATTCGATCGTAATATTGTTGATACGATTCTTTATTAAGCTGGTGCATGCGAGAGAGTTCGTACGCTAAGCATGACTCGTTCCTTCTATCTCCGAATCTGTTAATAAGTATATCTTTGACGTCTTTCCAGGTAACCCAAGAACTGTTATTCAATAAATCCCTAGCCTCACCTTTAATTTTTGCAATAATATTATGAAGAAGTAGCTTGTTGAACACACAATTGGGATCTGGTTTTTTAAGTAGCTGTATAAATTGATCCCCTTTCGTTATAAAGTCTAAAAGATCCTTGGTGCCACCAAAATAATCAGGCACAATATCTTTAGCAAGAGACAACTCTAGATTAGTAATTTCCGAAGTCATGACTGGTGAATCAAGAGCAAATTCACGACGTCTTTCTGAATCTGATTGATCCGATTCGCTATCAGAATGATAAAAAGGCATATAAAATTATTAGAGCCACCAAAACTTCAATAGCCAATATCACAGAAATTACAAAAATAAGATAATATATAATATAGAAATAGAAATATTCACTAAATAGGTATTAATTGTCTATGAAAAAGCGACACTGAAATGTTTCAAATTAGCAACAAAAATGTTCAAAGACTTACAGTAGCAAGATCACACACTGAAAATCCATGAAAGGCGCGGTTTTCTGTCTTCTTCTTTTTCTCTGTTTCGGCTCCACTAGCTTCTACAGTAGACGGGCTGTACTGCTACAGTTGCTGCACACCCTCCTAGTAGTGCCGGACTTACTGCTAACTTTTTGGGAGTTCTGGAACTTCAGGCCGTGGCCCAGTGCTAATGGTCTTCAGTGCCTTCACTCGGTTGCTTATTACTGGCTAGGATCCCTCCAAGAACATTGAAAGTTCGCGTGCCTTTTCGTTTAACTGGTGATTTCGGCTTGCCGATAATCTGCTCGATTGCCTCGAATTCGGACGCCGAAGGAACACGGTTCACGTTTCGCGACACGTTGAGGGATCCCGGTTGAGCCCCCAGTTAAATTACTGATACCGAGATTGATGTTTTGAAAAAAAACTTTATTTCCAAAATCGGTAAGTAGATGGTCTATGGGGATTAGATCTCAGTAGTTCCAAAATCCGCCACCAGAGGCGCTGGCGTCGCGCGCCATTGACAGGTTGTTGGACGGAATCTGTATTCATGAGTTGGGGATTCCGCCGCTAGATGGCGCTGTCAAACCAAACGGAATCTGTGTGTCATTGGACACCTGTCATGCGTCATTGGGCATCTCACGCATAGATGGCGTTACACGTCATCTGTCATACGTCATTGGACACCTGTCATTGATGGGTTGGGCATCTCGCGCATAGATGGCGCCGATTTGTTTGGCGGTGTACAAACCTAACGGAATCTATGTGTCATTGGACACCTGTCATTGATAGGTTGGGCATCTCGCGCATAGATGGCGCCGATTTGTTTGGCGCTGTACAAACCAAACGGAATCTATGTGTCATTGGACAGCTGCCATTGATGGGTTGGGCATCTCGCGCATAGATGGCCAGATGTCGCACCTGTCTGGTGTTGGCGTGGATTACGGGGGGCATTCAGAACGTGTATACAGGGGTGCATCGAAAAATAGCGGATCGATGGACCGACGGTATATCGTTAAATCGTATATAGCAAGGCGTGACCTAAATAGCGTGGTGGGCTCCTCTGGTCGGTCGGTCGGTCAGAATGTCTCATAACCTGTATACGATGTACTGTTATTATTATACAGGATGATACCGTTCAAAATGAAAATAGTATAGACATTCTGACAATTATTTCGCAAACCAGAGGTATTTTCAATAAAACTACAATAATACGTTTAATATTTTATTGAAAATAGAAAAAAACTACATAGGTAATATGATATTTGAAAACCAGTGGCGTAGACGTTCAACATTTCTCTGGGTACAGGAAAATTGTCCGTTGGTGTGGCATGGATTGGAATCAGCAACAAAGTTTCCAGTAGCACACGGTGTACCATCATACTTGCAAACATCAATAATGTTGGGAAAAACACCAAAAATGTGACACTTCTTGAGTAAAAAGTTTGCTTTCTGTTCTCCACGAACGTAGACATAGTCAGCCGCATATATCACCTTATTTTTAATTATTTCATTTAACTTGGAATATTTAACGTCGCCGGAAGAATATTTAAGCCCATGGAAATTCTTCTCCAAGTAAGCGACAGTTTTCTTGTCTTTAGTATTTAATGTAGAAAAAGGTTGCGGAGGTGTAAAGATGTAATGACTTTTCTTGAAACCAATTTCGATACATAGTTCTTTAGGTACGAATAATCCGTCAACTGTAAAGCCTTGAATGTCAACAAACGCGATCCTCATGATGTCTGATGCGGAACTGAGAGTCCTTCGTTGCTTACGAGATGGTTTTAATAACTTCGGTGAGGGGGAAGTACTCGATTAAGCAGTCATGTATAATGATGCAGTAGGCCTTGGTGTTGGTTGTTTGGCGCTGTACAAACCAAACGGAATCTATGAGTCATTGGACAGCTGCCATTGATGGGTTGGGCATCTCGCGCATAGATGGCCAGATGTCGCACCTGTCTGGTGTTGGCGTGGATTACGGGGGGCATTTAGAACCTGTATACAGGGGTGCATCGAAAAATAGCGGATCGATGGACCGACGGTATATCGTTAAATCGTATATAGCAAGGCGTGACCTAAATAGCGTGGTGGGCTCCTCTGGTCGGTCGGTCGGTCAGAATGTCTCATAACCTGTATACGATGTACTGTTATTATTATACAGGATGATACCGTTCAAAATGGAAATAGTATAATGGATATTTTATTGAAACATATAGTATATATAACAATAACGTTGATTGGTGTGTGTGTGTGTGCCATGTTTTGAATATCCGCTTGAACAACTTGAAACAAGAAATTCCGACAATATTATTTCGCAAACCAGAGGTATTTTCAATAAAACTACAATAATACGTTTAATATTTTATTGAAAATAGAAAAAACTACATAGGTAATATGATATTTGAAAACCAGTGGCGTAGACGTTCAACATTTCTCTGGGTACAGGAAAATTGTCCGTTGGTGTGACATGGATTGGAATCAGCAACAAAGTTTCCAGTAGCACACGGTGTACCATCATACTTGCAAACATCAATAATGTTGGGAAAAACACCAAAAATGTGACATTTCTTGAGTAAAAAGTTTGCTTTCTGTTCTCCACGAACGTAGACATAGTCAGCCTCATATATCACCTTATTTTTAATTATTTCATTTAACTTGAAATATTTAACGTCGCCGGAAGAATATTTAAGCCCATGGAAATTCTTCTCCAAGTAAGCGACAGTTTTCTTGTCTTTAGTATTTAATGTAGAAAAAGGTTGCGGAGGTGTAAAGATGTAATGACTTTTCTTGAAACCAATTTCGATACATAGTTCTTTAGGTACGAATAATCCGTCAACTGTAAAGCCTTGAATGTCAACAAACGCGATCCTCATGATGTCTGATGCGGAACTGAGAGTCATTCCTTGCTTTTTTGCTGCTCTTAGGCCCAATCGCATTTTTACGCTCCAGTCGCCCTGTACATTCTTTACCCTGTATACCACACTTAACATTCTTCAATCACCCTGTATACCATCAACCGCCATTTTTTTTCGCTCCAGCTACCTCTTAACATTCTTCCCTGTAGACCTTACTATAATTATAGGGCACGTGTTCATCAACGTTCAAATTTCCCGCGCGGTGAGCGTCCACCAATCAGAGCGCGCGGTGGATGTGGTGGGCGTGGCCAAAAAAGTGGAGGTGGTGGGGGCGTCCAAGGTGCACTCTCTTCTACAGAGTAGTGATGGTTGTTTGTTTATGTTGTTGTTATAGTTGTTTTTCTCTATTACGCTTAAAGCTGATTTAAACTGTTCTGATTGCTATTCGTTTTTACATCAAATCTGTACCCTTAGTGGCAATATGGAACTAGCTCACTCAAAATCTAGTGATTTTATCTGAATCAAACCTGATACCAAAAAAAGCTTATAAAAAATAGAATCCAAACTTGCACAAATGTAAAGGGTGATGCATTTGAAATTTGCGCGAGATGCCCAACCCATCAATGGCAGCTGTCCAATGACTCATAGATTCCGTTTGGTTTGTACAGCGCCAAACAACCAACACCAAGGCCTACTGCATCATTATACATGACTGCTTAATCGAGTACTTCCCCCTCACCGAAGTTATTAAAACCATCTCGTAAGCAACGAAGGACTCTCAGTTCCGCATCAGACATCATGAGGATCGCGTTTGTTGACATTCAAGGCTTTACAGTTGACGGATTATTCGTACCTAAAGAACTATGTATCGAAATTGGTTTCAAGAAAAGTCATTACATCTTTACACCTCCGCAACCTTTTTCTACATTAAATACTAAAGACAAGAAAACTGTCGCTTACTTGGAGAAGAATTTCCATGGGCTTAAATATTCTTCCGGCGACGTTAAATATTCCAAGTTAAATGAAATAATTAAAAATAAGGTGATATATGCGGCTGACTATGTCTACGTTCGTGGAGAACAGAAAGCAAACTTTTTACTCAAGAAGTGTCACATTTTTGGTGTTTTTCCCAATATTATTGATGTTTGCAAGTATGATGGTACACCGTGTGCTACTGGAAACTTTGTTGCTGATTCCAATCCATGCCACACCAACGGACAATTTTCCTGTACCCAGAGAAATGTTGAACGTCTACGCCACTGGTTTTCAAATATCATATTACCTATGTAGTTTTTTCTATTTTCAATAAAATATTAAACGTATTATTGTAGTTTTATTGAAAATACCTCTGGTTTGCGAAATAATTGTCAGAATGTCTATACTATTTTCATTTTGAACGGTATCATCCTGTATAATAATAACAGTACATCGTATACAGGTTATGAGACATTCTGACCGACCGACCGACCAGAGGAGCCCACCACGCTATTTAGGTCACGCCTTGCTATATACGATTTAACGATATACCGTCGGTCCATCGATCCGCTATTTTTCGATGCACCCCTGTATACACGTTCTGAATGCCCCCCGTAATCCACGCCAACACCAGACAGGTGCGACATCTGGCCATCTATGCGCGAGATGCCCAACCCATCAATGGCAGCTGTCCAATGACACATAGATTCCGTTTGGTTTGTACAGCGCCAAACAAATCGGCGCCATCTATGCGCGAGATGCCCAACCTATCAATGACAGGTGTCCAATGACACATAGATTCCGTTAGGTTTGTACACCGCCAAACAAATCGGCGCCATCTATGCGCGAGATGCCCAACCCATCAATGACAGGTGTCCAATGACGTATGACAGATGACGTGTAACGCCATCTATGCGTGAGATGCCCAATGACGCATGACAGGTGTCCAATGACACACAGATTCCGTTTGGTTTGACAGCGCCATCTAGCGGCGGAATCC